GAGCGTCCCCTCTAGTGTTCAGCTTCGGCATTGCTGTGGGCACCACTGTCCCCGTGGGTTTGGAGCCTGATCATGGCCACCCTGGGCCAGAGGTAGCGGCAGGCCCCCATGGTTCTCTCTTTCCCGGACCCTACAATGCCCCAGGACACAGGTGGCAACCCCAGACTCTGCAAGCCTTCTCAGGGGGCTCTCACAGGGCCCCAGGGGACATTCCAGCCTCGCTCAAAGCCCAGAGGTCAGGCCCATGACCCAAGGGACACCAAGTTCTGGTTGACACAGACCTGGGTGACCCTGGGAGCTGCCAGGAAGGGGAAATAACCCCCACCCCACTTCTCTCCCTCCCCATGGGGGTGCCTCCCTCTCCCTAACGTGTCCATTCCATTCAGGATGAACTTCCTGCGATGTTTACAGTCCCCTCCGGGTCGCCTCTGGGTCCAGAAGGTCTGCCTTCTTCCCAGGCTGTCTCTGCTGCTACGGCAATCCCACCCTGTTTCTCACCAGTATGGCTGCACTACAGTGGATGGTTCAAGGCCACTGAAGGCCCAAGTCTCCCTCCTGGCTGGCAGGACTGTGGCAAGGGGAGGTGTCTGTGGCACTGAGATGAGTGAGCTTGCTAAGAATGCAAAGAGCACCTTTCAGGGCTGCAAACAGCACGTGGAGCCTGCAACCGTGAGGACTGTTCCATCCCACCAGACTAAACCAGAGCAGGTCTGAGACAGAGAACAGTGTTACCGTTGAGGACAAAGTTGACAGAGAGAGCCCACATGCACTGAGCCAGAGATTGCCGTGGGAGCCGTGGGACCGAGGTGCAGTGGTTCAGTAGCGGTGCCAATGAGGGCAAAGGAGGGGCAGATGCTGTGAGACCCACTGGGCCTGCCCTCCACAGAGCCAGGGCTAAGTGCCCCCACCTAAGCTGACCGGTGGCTCAGGGGAGCACATAACTGACCGAAATAACCTTTTTAATCTATACACTGAACAGATCATTTGAGAGGCTGGACTCTATGAAGAAGAATGTGACATCAAGATTGGAGGAAGACTCATCAACAACCTTCATTACGCAGATGACACAACCCTGCCTGCCAAAACTGAGGAGGACCTGAGGACCTGCTGCAGAAGGTCAAGGACTTCAGCCTTCAATATGGATTGAAGGTCAACATCAAGAAAACAAAATCCTTACCATCAGGCCAATAGGCAGCATCATGATAGATGGAGAAAGGATTGAAATTGTTAACAACTTCACCTTGCTAGGATCCAGTCAAGACTCTTGGTATCAGGAATCATGAAGTCGAAAGACAACTTGCAATGGGGAAATCTCCCGTCAAAGAACCTCTCCAGAGTGCTACAGAGCAACAACGCCAATCTAAAGACTAAGGTGCACCCAATACAAGCCATGGTCTTTGCAATTACTTGCTGGACAATGACTAATGATAACAGAAGAAGAATTAATGCCTTGGAGCTGTGGTGCTAGAGAAGAGTATTGAACACACCGTGGACCGCCAAGAGAACAAACAGGCCTGTCCTATAGAGGGTGAAACTAGGTTGCTCCTCGGAGGCAAGGATTTTGTAACTCTGTCTCGCATACTTTAGGTATATTGTCAGGAGGGACCAGACCTTGGAGAAGGACATCATGATTGGAAAGGTTGAAGGTCAGCACAAGAGAGGAAGACCCTGAAGGAGATGGACTGGCACAGGTGGGGCAATGGGGTCAGATGTGTTGGTTATGGTGAGGTTGGCTCAGGATAAGGCAAGGTTCAGAGTCATTGTTCATATAGTCGCTGTGAATCATAGCCGACTCCATAACACGTAACAGCAAGAAGACTTGCTTGAGCACAGGGCAGAGTCCGCAGCAGCGAGGACACTAGTCAGAGGAGCCTGAGAAGGTGTTGTCCTGCTGCAAGAATTCTATCCTGAGGGTTTCCAGCTGGAACTGTAAGCTGTTACTTTGTTAAGAAACTCCACAATGGTTGCACTGTGAGTTCTGTGTGGTCATTGCAACAGCGAACCCAAGGCAGGACAGTGAGAAGAAGGGACAGATGGTTTGTGGTGGAGGGGACAGAGGAAGGTGCTGGGACGTGGGGCCTGTCTCACCACCCAGGAATCCGTGTGCACTAATGTTCTTGACGGGAGTCTCCCCTCTGTGGAGTTGGACTCAGACACTGGCACCCTCACACCGGCCACCTAGGCTTTACTATCAGACACTTTAAAATTTTTCTAGCTTCCATCCATTACCAGTTCAAATAAGCTTCTACCTTTGAGGTGGTCTGCTAGAGCAGTATTCCACTTTCTCGGTGCCAAATTCTATCTAGTTCCCTAATGGTGCTATGACAGAGGTGTCACAGAAGGGTGCCTTCAACAAACAGGAGCGCCTCCTATCACAGTTGAGGAGACCTGATGCCCACATCCAGAGAGCTGACTCAGGTGACGCTTTCTCTCTCCTAGGTCTGGGGAAGGACCTCGCCTCTGGTCAGTATCTGTGAGCCTGGTGTCTCTTGGAGATCTCCATGAACCCTGGTATCACCTCCCTCTGGGTCTGAGAGGTTCTCAGTGCAGGAACGCTGGGTCCAAAGGACTCCCACTCCCAGGGGGGGCAGCCCTTTCCCACAAGCCTTTCTTTCTAGTTCTCTCCTCCCTGCTTACCCCTCCCCGAGGTTCCCTCCTCCCTCCTCCCCCCAGGTTCTCTTCCCTCTCTCCCCCCATATTCTCTTCTCCCTCCTTACTACTCCCCCAGGTTCTCTCCCCACTTCTCCCCCAAATTCTCTCCTACCTCCTCCCCTCCAGGTTCTCTCTTCTTCCCTTCCCCCCTTCCAGATTCTCTACTTACTCTTCACCCAGGTTCTTTACACCTTTCCCCCAAGGTTCTCTCCTTCCCCCTTCCCCCCAAGTACTCTCCTCCCTCCTCCCCCAGGTTCTGCCCTCCCTCCCCCTAGATTCTCTCTTCCCTCCTCCTCTCCCAGATCCTCTCCTCTCTCCTATCCACGCACCCAGGTTCACTCCCCCTCCTCACACATGCACCCTTCCTCTCTCCCTTCCTTCCTCTCCTCTCCTCCCCTCCCCTCCCCTCTCCTCTCCTCTTCCCCTTCCTTCCTCTCCTCTCCTTTCTGCCTGCTCCTTATTCCCTGCTCTTTCCTCCCCCTTCTCTGCTCCCTCTTGTCTTCTCTCTGCGCCTTTCTCCCCTTCAAGCCCTTACAACTTCCCTTTTCTGCTCCCTCCTCTGCCACCCCACCCAGCTTTGTGCTCTTTCCTTACAGTTTAGTTCAGGAGCTTCTCTTGTTCTCTTCTGTGCTGGCCTCCATGACCTCCTGCTGGGGAGGTTCCACACAGGTCTGTATTCAATCTTGGTTTCAATGTCTGTTCAGAGCTTTCACCATCATCAGCTGTGGTTTAAGGGCTGTAAGAAAAAAAAGTCTCTTTTACAAGATGGAGTTAAAGCTAAAACAAGAACCTTTTCTAAAAATTACTAAAAGAAGTTCCCTTGTCTTTGAATTCTTCTTGTGAACCAGACAAGGCCAGTTCTTGGTACCCTAACATCCTCTGAAACAAAGACATCCCAATCATCCTCAAGCCCTATCCCCCTCCTGTCAAGCCCCATCCTATCAAGCAAATGTCAGATTAGCAAACCAGGTAGAAACAAGACTATGAGGTCAAAACTCTTGACAAATAGGGTGAGACACAGCCTTAGCTTTTGTGTCTGGGTTAGACAAGCGTGGATCACCCACCCATGTGTCCCCGCAGCCTTCTGCAAGAGTAAATTGCCTTGCTGATATTTTGGGGCTTTGGATGTGTTTCTGTTGTGACATAGAGCCAAGTTTCTAACAGGGCAGAGAATCTGATTTGGGGGTTGCAGTTAATAAGTACCAACCAACTGGACAAAGGGATTTCAGACACAACTGGAATTGTTACAGAGCAAAAGTGAGCAACTGGGTGCAGATTGGTGTGGGAGAATCAGAAGCTGAATCTGGAGGTGCTGGGCCCCCCATGTCTGTAGACTGCCAATTTTGTGGGTGGGGACTGGACTGGGTATTTTAAAAAGTCAACTCTTGTTGACGCCATTGTTGTTGAGACTGCACAGAGGGCCATCTGCTCTCTCTAGGTCTGATTCAGTGACTGGTGACACTCTTCCAGTGGGGCGTCCATTCTCAGCCCCCCCTTGCCCACTGTCCCTATCTCACTGCCCCCTTAGGCTCCATCTAACCTTCTGAGTTGTCTGGTCCCACACAGGTGAATTTCCAAGGAGCTCGAGGCAGGGAGCATTAAAGACACCACACCACAGCGTTCTCCCATAGTGTGATCAAACGGACGTTTCATGGGGGATAGTCTTAGTTTATTCATTAAAGGTACCTCGGGGCAACTTTTGGGGGTTCATCCAGCCTCCATGGTAGGGACTTTGTCTTATTCGTCTTTTCTCAGCAAAGATATTTAAGTGCAATGATAAGTGTGTCAATGCATCCGATAACTGACCAGGTCTGGCCCAAACGCCTCCCCGGAGAACGTGAGTCAGTGGGCACATTTGGCCGGTCCAGGCGAGTGGTTCTCCAGCCCAGGTGGGCATGAATAGGAGACTACCAGAAGGGCTTGTTAACGCCCAGATTGCTGGGGCTGCTCAGAGTCTCGGATTCAGGAGTCTGGGCGCGGCCCGAGAACCTGCATTTGCTCCAGGTGCTGCAGACCAGGCTGCTCAGCGCACACCGGCTCAGGTGGGGCTGGAGGAGCCGGGAACTACACTTCCCGGCATGCCTCGGGGCGCGCGCGCACGCATTTCCGGCGGCGGGAGCCGCCCGCCGCGCGG